GTGTAACGTTTGCTCATGATGAAACCACCCACTTCAAAGTGTAAAGCAGTTCAAAAATGTCTTCACATGGGCTAAAAATATTCTTCAACACGTCAAGTACAATTAATAAGTAATAAAAGCATAACCGAAAATGAAACAGGAATAAACCAAACTTATTCCTCGCTTGTTTACATTATCAAGGTGAACTTTTACCTAGTGGTGGTTAACCCGACCGTTGTTGCTACCTTGACGTGGTGGTCGGGCTTGCCTATCGTGATGAAGCAACCGAGCTATACTGGCTGGAACAACCGTTCCTCAAGGTCCTACCATGTCAGACAGGTCGGTTGAAGAGCGGTAAGACTAAAAGCAACAAACCTAAGGTCCGAAGGCGAAGTCGTACTGCTGACTGTACAGAGGTGTGACAGCAGTAAGGTGTTTCCTTCAGACAACCAGCATGACAGCGATGCTGCCTTCCCACAAGGAGGGGTGGGGTTAGAAAAGGTCGACCCTAAAAATGCACACCTCACCTTACCTCACGGATTTCCGTCTCCGGCGGTAAGGCCCTTTGAAGAACGGAGCTAACATGTCAAAAACCTTCCACAAAAAGGCCGTGCGCGACCGGCCTCAAGCAGTTGTCCCTTGGGCACTGCGGTCACGCTCTCAGGTCGCCGAGACCGCCTCTAATCCAATTTCCTTTTCAGGTACCTCCAGAAGAACCCTTCCACGGTGTGGGCAACCGGGAAGTGATAACCGCCCTCATACCTCTAACAGCACCCAAGACCACCGTATTCATAATCAACCTTCTTCTTCAATTCCTATTATTCCTCCTACATCGACTTTCAACCCTAAACTTCCTCCTTCGGCTTCTTCCTCAAGTGTCACCATAGCCAACGATTCTAGTGCTCAAAACTCTGTCCCAGGTCTACTGAAACCTCGCTCCAAACTACACATTAGAGCTTTCAACGTACGCACTTTATGTCAAATCGGTCAGCAGGCTTCCTTGGCTAAAACCCTAGAGTCTCTTTCCATCGATGTATGCTGTGTCTCCGAAACACGCATACAGGATTCCAGTGTGGTCATTCACTTGACCTCACCTCGGCAAAACGGAGAGCTAACGAGATACACCCTACGTGTATCTGGTGACCCGATGGCCAGTTCTCGTGGACTGGCAGGTGTAGGCATAGCACTAAGCATGAGGGCGGAACAAGCACTGCTAGAGTGGATCCCCATCAACAGTCGTCTATGTGCTGTTCGGCTAAACGGCTCCGTAAGAACTCGGAAGGATAGGGACACACGTCGTTGCCTTTTTGTCGTTTCTGCCTACGCTCCCACTGACTGCAGCTCCGATGAAGTGAAGGATGAATTTTACAGGAAGCTTTCTGAACTTCTTCAGAAAGCTAAACGCTCAGACATAGTACTCGTAGGGGGTGACTTTAATGCGCAGATAGGTAGCTTAAACCAAACAGAAAGGCATTTAGGTGGATATTTTAGCATTCCGGCACAGCGAACAGATAATGGTGATCGTCTGCTGCAACTGTGCTCAGACAATCGCTTATTTTTAGCAAACACAAATTTTAAGCATAAGGAGAGACATCGTCTAACATGGCGACCCCCTACACCAAACCAACGATGGACTCAAATAGACCATATTGCCATCAGTCATCGTTGGAGAGGGTCGGTAGAAGATTGTCGCTCATTCTGGAGTACCTGCTTGGACTCCGATCATGCCCTAATACGGGCACGCATCTGCTTGCGCCTCACCGGACGCAAAAAAGCCACATTAAAAAGACCAATTAGAACTGAATTGAGCAACGAGAAAACCAAAAATAGGTTCCAAGAACAACTGAGTTCACACTTAAGTAGTTCTGAACACGAGGCTGACCCAGATGTTGCTTGGAAAGACATACAAGCAGCTGTGGAAGCAGCAGTGACATCTATTAGCAACTTAAACCACAGAGTTTCAAAGAACCAGTGGATTTCTTCAAAGTCTATCACACTGATGGATTCTCGCAAATTTGTCCCATCAGGTTCCGAACATGATGAAGAGCGACAACAAATCAGATCTAGGTTAAGAAAAAGTTTAAGAAACGACCGTGAGCAGTGGTGGGCAACAAAAGCAAAAGAGATGGAAAAGGCGGCGACTATAGGGAACACAAGACAACTTTACAGACTAATAAAAGAAACTGGAATTAATAAGTCAAGTGTAAGTGAGATTATATCGGAAAAAGACGATACTCTCATCTATTCCCAGTCCAGACGTTTAGAACGATGGGCGGAACACTTTAGGGAACAGTTCAGCTGGCCTTCAGCGACTCTACAACTACCCTCCATTCCCAGACAGCGTGAATGGAACATTGAAGTAGGTCCCCCAACTCTTGCTGAAGTTCAAAAGGCTATAGATAATCTGAAACGAGGAAGGGCAGCTGGACCAGATGGACTGGTTCCAGAAGTCTTTAAAGATGGTGGTCCAATTTTAGCGATTAGGTTGACTAATATTTTAGCTAAGATCTGGGAGTTAGACGTTATTCCATCTGACTGGTCACAATCACTTATCGTCCCAATATATAAGAAAGGGTCAAAATCATCCTGTGACAACCACAGAGGGATTAGTTTAACTAATATAATATCTAAAATACTAGCCTCGATAACTATCAGACGCCTAACTAAGACTCGTAAACTGCAAACACGAGAAAACCAAGCTGGTTTCAGACCTGGTCGTGGCTGCATCGACCACATATTCACCATTCGTCAGGTTCTAGAACACAGGCACACTTATCGGCGTCCGACGATGGTGGTCTTTCTTGACTTAAAAGCAGCATTTGACTCTGTAGACCGCGAGGTTCTGTGGCAGTGTCTGTCATTGAAAGGCGTACCTCAGAAGTACATAAACCTTGTGAAGGCTCTTTACTCGAACACTACTAGTCGAGTGAGAGCTTATGGCGAACTGTCATCTACTTTTGCAACCTCAAGTGGTGTCCGTCAAGGATGTCCACTTTCTCCATTTTTGTTTAACTTCATCATAGACCTACTGATGGAAATAACTTTCTCGTCGACTGAGTTCTCGGGTATTGATCTCCTTCCAGGAGGTCCACTTATCGATTTAGAATACGCAGATGACATAGTCCTGTTTGGTGAAGACGCTGACAAAATGCAGAGTCTTCTGGTAGCACTGAGCAACAATTCCAGGATGTTTGGAATGCGCTTCTCTCCCTCTAAGTGCAAGTTGTTGCTTCAGGACTGGTCTGCGTTAACACCTGAACTAAGGATAGGGAGTGAAGTTGTCGAACGCGTTGACAACTTCACTTATCTTGGAAGTTTGATCAGCCCTAATGGGTTGATATCGGACGAAATCTCAGCACGGATTCGAAAAGCTCGTTTGGCTTTTGCCAACTTACGTCACCTGTGGCGAAGGCGAGATATCCGTCTATCAATAAAAGGACGAGTATACTGCGCGGCAGTTCGTTCTGTTTTAATTTACGGCAGCGAAACATGGCCTTTAAGAGTAGAAGACACTCGTAAGCTGCTAGTATTTGACCACAGATGCCTTAGAAATATTGCTGGCGTCTGCTGGGATAATCGGGTAAGTAATAGTGAGGTTAGACGCAGGGTATTAGGGAAGGATGGTAAATCAGTTGATGAGGTTATGAATCTTCATCGACTGAGGTGGTTGGGCCACGTGTTACGTATGCCTGAACACCGATTACCACGACGTGCAATGCTATCCGGTATTGGAAATGGTTGGAAGAAAGTTAGGGGCGGCCAAACCAAAACGTGGCATCAGTGCTTGAAGCCACTAACTTCTAGTCTGAGCCATGTTGGTAGATGTAGACTACTTGGTTGGGGTCCGCGTGACTATCGAAACCAATGGTTGGAGACTCTTGGTGACATGGCTCAGAATCGATCACAATGGCGTCGGTGTATACACTCGGTTTCTTCCCTTAAACTAAGAGATTAAAAGCGCTTCATATCTTTCTTTCTATTAACCAATTCTTTCTTCTTGTACTATATCTCTATATGCAATCTTTCTCTTATATATTACCACCTTTTACCTAACCACTGTTATGAATCCGGTGTTCATCTTGTTGTGCTGATGCGGTATGGCAACCTGGACCGATGCACACAAGTGCATGGTTCTACGTTGTAGCTGACTGACTGACTGAGTGGTGGTTAAAAAACTTGATATCAGTTGCTGGTGATCAAAATGTTTATATAATTAAATTATCATAAATCGGTCTATATATGCAGTATTCAGCAATCTACCTGATGAGCATAAACAAAAAGCGATTGATGTAGAGCAGACCAAAATGTGAGGCCCTGTTGTTATTGGTGGATAAAGCTTAAACTCTAATAAATACGAAACTTAACCAACAAAGTCCATCACTGTAAGTCAACAATCGTTGAACACAATCCAATTAAATTTCAAACTTTGCTAGTGGGTAGAATCAGACCACTGCTAAAGCCAATTATCATTAACCAACCATGTAACTACAGCATATTTATTAGTTTCCTCTTAACTGTGTTCATGTGAAGTGTGGCTACTTTGTTAGGCACACATGTATGTCAAGTTAGACTTTGACTATGGATGATTTCCTGTCACATTTCAATATCACGAATTCTCAAGGTCTTGGAGGACCTGTGTGAAATTTACATAGAAGCCATTGAATAGAGTATAATATTTGCCAACGTGGAATAGAATACAAGCACCTGACAATAAATTTCAAATCGAGGAAAATCTTTCAAACAAATTAAAGACGATTGGAATAATCTCTTACGTAGATAAGCAAAATTAATGAATATTCATGAGTTCATTCTATGTGTTTTGAAGTCAGGTTCCAATGAAAAGGCCTCATTTTACAGTACATTTGTCAATCATTCTGCTTTTAAAATGTGTTCTTAGTTGTTATTAATCGAATAGTTACAGTATGTAAAAATAGCGCAGATCGCCATAAACTTAATTGATGTGTTTTTTAAGTGTATAATCATTCGTAAAAATACCAGCTTATAAAAAATGCCTTACTTACCCTTTCTGCTTGGATAGTTGGCAAATGGGCTTTATTGAATGTCCGACCACCATCAGTTGACACACTAAGCTGTACAGTTTGGTTTTTGGTATCTGAAAAGTGTGATGCGTAGAGAAAGTGTCCTAGTTTTATCGTTTCATAGTCTTCCTTCGTCTCCAAATCAAACGAAATGCTACTTTTATCATGGGGTCTAGGGATATCGAGCTTAACTCCACGTGGGGCCCATACTCTTATAACATCCTTCAACAGTTCAGTCCAAGTTAATCCAAAATCAGAAGATTTTGCTAGTATGTGCCTTTCACTTGCATCTGTTGTTTTTTTAAAAAAAAGAAAGGTTCAATTTATTAATGAAATACACTTGATTTTTCCGTTAATTATTAACACCAAGTTTGTTTGGTCTATTTATTTGTAGCAAAACAACATAGAGAAAATAAAGGTAGACAAGATATAGATAATTAATGTATGTCAGTGACCATAAGTATTTGCATAATCCTCAAACAAAACTTGTCACCAATTCATCAGCAAACGTTATTTGATTCGCACCCAAATACGATGATTTACTTAAAAACCAGCCAGTCAGCTAAGACGTAGGACCAGGTACATATATGCATCAGTTCAAAACGTCACACCTCGTTAACATAACAAGACGAACACCGAATTCATAAAGCAGTTACTTCTATGGTAGTAATTTATAAAAGAAAGATTGTATATAAGGAGATAATACAGGAAGAAAGAATTTGTTCGTAGAAAGAAAGGTATAAAGCAATTTTAATCTCACGGTTTAAGGGAAGACAAAGAGTGCATACACCTACACCACTATGATTGATTCTGATTCAATATCTATTACTTATTCATAAATCAACAAGTACTCACATTTTTGCTACATACGTCTATTAAAATATATCCGTATCTGATGACTATGGTTCTTGTAGATATGCTGTCAAAGATTTAAGGTATAATATATATGATTTTTGTTAGTTCATAGTTACTAGATCCTGCTACCTTGACAGATTCATGTCGGAGTACAATAAAAAAGCATTCCAGATATATAAGTGAAAAACTCTACGGAATATGAGTAATTTAAGTCTAAATGTAGAGATATTCCCTTATCTTTGGCCATAAATAATATTACTGTCATATGGCTACCTTATACTAACAGAAGTAAAGTGACCTACCGTTCCAGTAACTTTTAAAACTTGAGAGACCTGAATCCAATAACTTCTAGGAGCAGTCAAGAAAAGATAGACCGAAATGCGGACCCATATTTAAGTGAGTAATCACTCTTTAAGAAGTCTTATTGAACAGTGCTCTAGATCCTCTTAAGGTTGAAACGATACCTTCAGAGTGCTAAATTTGGATACTCTGAAACATATTTAATAAGAACCAACATAGTTTTTAATTTCTCGCTAAAAAAACTTGAAATGAACAAATAACCATGTCTCACGATTTAAAAGACTTTCGACTGACCTGATAAAATCTTGCAATGGTATTAACAGTCCTAAGCATCAATATCGAGGCCTAATTCAAACACCGTATGTAGAGGAAGTACTTGAAAAGTATACGTCGAGTATTACGAATTTTATTTAACTGTACATCTTAATGCTTGGGAAACGTTTTGAGACTCACTTTTTCAGAAATAATCCCAGCAGCTTTATCAGAGCTCTCTAGAGCAGAACTGAGTATCTTCAAGTACATTGAAATATTTTGAAACGACCTACTGAAACTTTAATTTGTCAGTCCCTACCTAATCTTTACACATCTAGATGATTAAAATGAGACATTGACAGTCTGTAAGTAATATTTGTGGAGGTCTAACAATTAAAGACTCATACCGTTCTCTTTAAAACTATAGATACACAATTTAAACTATAAACAACAATTTACGATTGAATGATGACAAGTAAATGAAATAAAGTCATTTGAGAAGTCATAAACGGACTTACTTTTACTGGATTGTGGATGATAAAGTATGTACACTGTTTCTCCTGGATCTATTTCATAAACAGACCTGAATAACGTAAGATTACTTTGCATATAACTAACCAAAAGTAATCCACAACATTATCGTGAATGTTTTTCCATGTTTTGCCGTTATCAAGTGACAGATATAAAATCTGAGTGACCGGCGTTATAAAAGTCAAGTGAACTCACCGATGTTTTTTCTTCTAAAGTTAAAACCCATGGAGAAAGTCTTTCACGTGGATAAAAACGCAGCTGACCACTTAAGACAAATGGTACACTAGACCTTTCCCAAGTAGAACCCCCATCTTCAGTAACAAAAATCATAGACCTGGTCATATTTTCCACATCATAACATATCACAAATAGCTGAGCTATCCCTGAGAGAGGAATGGACTAGACTCACTTCTTTTGAATCTCTCTGATTCTGATGACGCTGAAGGCCATTTTCTCTCCGAATGTAAATATTTTCACCCAACTGCTGCGTAATTTTTGTGAACGTTTTACCGTTATTGTCACTACATGGCATTAAAAAGTTTTCTTCTTACCTACGATATATGTCGGATGTTAGTCCCGGGCCAGACTCCCCCTCTGTCATCGTCACTAGTATCAAAACCTAATCATTAAAAACACGAACAACAAAAACTACCCCACTGTTTTCACCTGCCCATGTCAACTGGATCGTTTCTTTTGTATCATTGACGAAGTAGAACTACGGAAATTAATGCAACTAAAACTTACTACTTCCAAGGCTTTTCCGCTCTCGATAATGGGGTCGAATAGTTTCTGTTGTGAATCGCAAACATTGATGCTAGAGCTTGCATCCAATGGAGAAATACCAGCAAATGTAAGCAGTAATACAGCAAGAAGTATAATCATATTAGATTTGAATAGCATAACACCATCCGAATATGTGCCACATTCAAGGTGAGTGTTTATTGGATTAAATGGTTATATATAAGGTAAAAGTATTCTGTTAACAAACGTCTATGCCAATTATGTTCCCGGATTGAGATTATGGTGTATTAAAGAATAAGGATAGAAATACTGACAAATTACTATGGTAAACTATATCTATCGAACACTAGAAAAAACTACGCGCGCTAGTTAAAAGGACAGTGGTATTTTCCCTCGCTGAGTAAATTCTATTGTTTTGATCGTTTATTATGCATCAAGACTACTGTTTTAACTTTAATTCAGTTTATACATAAAGGATGAATAACACTGAGGTACCTGTTGTCCAGACACATAATGACTTAGGAGTCATCGTCAGCCAAAACTTAAAGAATACTGCACACTTAGATGGTGGTTAAAGGTAGTCAACAGGAGACCCTGGACCCGGGTTTTGTGCTACTTGGCACTCGTCAGCAAGGTGTACCTGTAATCTTGAGGGAACTGGTGCTCCTTGGCGGATTCGATTTCGTGTCACCCAGCTTCACAGTCAGAGACGTTACCACTGAGCTATCCGAGCCGTGACTAACCTCCTGTATGACTGAGATGTAATTACAATTGGTTGATCACTGGGTGGTGATCAATGTCTTGCTTGTCTAGTCCTTATTAGTGCAGATCGAATGCTATCGATCATGTTGCAATGTGGCCATCAGTCTAGGTGACTCGACACTGCGGGCACTATGTATTGAGATTTAGATGGTGGTTGGAGGTAGTCAACAGGAAACCTGCACACTGCCTTGCAATAGCCGCCAGAGGTTTTAGAACCTTATGGTCAATACGTAGGGCTTTTAGACATGTTGACGCTAAAAGGTTTTTGACTTTTTATACAGTGTTCGTACGTCCTAAACTTAAGTACTTCATACAAGCGGCTAGCCCCTGCTTTTAAAAAAAGGCAGTGAGTTTCTCGAAAAGGTTCAGAAAACAGCAACTAAGCTGATTCTCGAAATAAGGAAGCTTCTATATGCTGCTTGACTGACCAAGCCAAACCTTTTCCCGTTGTCATATAGTAGAACTAGAGGCGACTTGGTTACAGTTTTCAAATTGCTTAGTGATAAATTTGCGCCTGATATGCCTTCATTTTTCTTGTCCTCCAAAACAGAGAATTTATGAGGACACTTTAAAATGTTCACAAGCCCAGAACAAATTACTTGTCAGCTGACTATCGACTTTTCCATCGAATCATCAACGAGTGGAATTCATCACCACAGCACGTGGTTGTGGCTCCATCCCTTGACTCTCAATAGAAAGTTGGATCAGCTGGAAGACCACCATTACCAGGACTAACACGTGAAATCAAGACTCTTGTCTCTTCCAAACTGAAAGTGTAAACTATGTCAATCAAACACTAGAAAATTTACTAGAACCACTTTACTAAGTAACGAATTCAAAAATTCTAATACTTATAAGAAGTACGATGTTCGCCTTCAATCCTGTTTGCCGTTTTGAATCTGATTTCCGGTAATCATCGGATGAATTACGTTCGATATTTAAAAGGATGCCTCGGAGTGTTTAGAATGGGTAGTTTGTAGTGTCTGATACTGTAGCGGTAAACAAACCCCAAAATAAATAGCTCCGTAAACTGTCATGCACCCTGCGAAGAAGCACTTCACGTAGACGATCTGTCTCTAGACCACGAGAGACGGATAACCCCGACTGGTGCTGGTATCTTAACCAGTATCAAAAGTCTTCTACGTATGATAAAAGTTACGTTTACCTTAACGTGGCTTTACGCAAACCCATACACTGAATCTTCGTTGTTTCAAAGGTTTCTATGCCAATCATTAAGCACACGATAGACCCATTTCATCAACCACTACTCGATAAGTATTCTGGGATATACCAAACGCAATCAAAATTGCCGTGTGTAACCAGCAACGTTACATATCACATCACGACTACAGGGTCCTCTGTATTCTCTAAAGCACGCCGACTAGCCTTCGAAAAGCTAAGGTTGACCAAAAACGAATTTGACCACGCAATGGACTTAGGTATCATAAGACTTTCAAACAGCCCATGGGCATCTCCGTTGCACATGGTCCCTAAAAAGGACAGCAACGATTTGCGTCCGACTGATGACCATTGGCGATTGAATACAAAAACCATTTCCGATCGTTGTCTGTTGCCCCACACACACGACTTGACAGCTAACTTGAAAGGTACAACTGTCTTTTCGAAAATCAACTTGGTTAAAGCTTATAACCAAATCCCTATGACTACTGACGATATTCGGAAAACCGTTAGCATAAGTCCCTTCAGAATTTACGAATTTTTGCGAATGCCTTTCGATCTAAGAAACGCTGCCCGAACTTTCCGAAGGTTCGTCAACGACGTTTTCGAGGTCTCAACTTCGTACATGTGTATGTTGATGACTGCCTAATAGCAAGTCCGGACAGAGAATCGCATCTTCAGCATCTGGATCTTGGTTTCGACCGACTACGAAGATATGTCATTACTGTAAACATTCAGAAATGTCAAGTCGGAACTGACTTATTAGACTCCCTAGAACACACTATAGATGCGCAATGCATTCGACACCTTACAACTATAGTGGTGGCCATTCTGGATTACCCAGAACCGACCGCCATCAAGCAATTACGAACGTTTAACGGCCTTGTAAGTTTCTATGGACGGTTCACACCGAAATGCGCGTCTCTTATTATACCGCTAACGGAACAACTTCAAGGAAATGCGAAGTCCATCAATCCGGGCGACACCACACGAAAAGCATTCTCCACAATTAATGAACTTATCGCTGAAGCAACGATGATTGCACATCAAGACACTCAACTACCCATTAGTATCACGGTTGTCGCATCCGACTCAACAGTCGAAGAAGTCTTACAACAATGGATCAACCACTCCGTGCGACCTTTGACAATTTTCTCTAGACGGTTACTAAACACTGAATCGAGATACAGCACATTCAATAGGGGACTCCTAGCTATGTATTGTGCTGTGCGGCATTTTCAACACTATATCGAAGGCCGTGAATTTACCCTTTTTATTACCCATAAACCTCTTACTTTTTAATAATAATAATAATAATTTATTCTCAAATAACAGTTTGTTACATGAGGTATGCCAGTTTACACGCAAGATCAAATTGATACAAATGATACAATATCCACTGTAGTAAATTACATAGCTGGGTCGATAATTTATAATATATGAATGTAGATGGTTTTAATTAGTACCACAGTTGGCGCGCTTCAGAAAGTCACGTTGCTAATGTGCAACTGATGGTCAAGGATAGGTCCATTGAAGGTGGGAGCTTCTAAATGTCACAACCTTATGTCTCTTTGGAATGTCTAAGGCTTTGAGGATGGTGCACGATAAAATCTTTCATACCACATCACAATGGGGCTAAAAGAGGGAGCAAGTAGAAGAAGGGACGAGAGGCAGAGTAGCCAATATTCATGAAGGAATGTCTAAGGTATGATTACTCACTCTAATTTTCTTTTATTAAGGTATTTCTTAAGAAAGAGCATTTTAATAGGTTAAAGAAAATAAGCGTTAACAATGAATGAGTTTACATACAAGAGACAAATGGGGGTGATTTGGAAAGTAGCTGAGTTTATGGGCTTATGTGTGGTTATAAAATAAAATATAGTGCTAGAAACAGTATTGTGATATACAATTGGCTATCTTCCTTTTTTTATCGAAGCTGTTAGATCCCTTTTCATTTTTTTTGTACTATTTTTTTCAGGTATCATTGGGTCTTGAGTAGGCTTCGTATATTGGCGAATTGTCTAGTTTGCTTGTAATAGGATTTCTGTGTAGGAAGTGAAACCAATTCAACATTCGTAACACGATTCAAAGAGGTATTTCGCGTGATAAGTCAGCATCAATACCATAAGTTCGTGACATCCCACTAAACCATAAGGAGCCGTAATTAAACAAAATGTTCTGCCCTACAGACATGGGTGGATTGAAGTTATCTCCCCATCTTCATGTTTGCTGGTCAGTAACGCCACCCTCTCTTTTGTGATGTTAGGCTCTCTTACGTTTGTGGTAAGTATGAATACTGCTTTAATCAAAGCCCATAGTTGGAATACACTGTCTCTACTAGGTTCATGCTACAAGCAAATCAGATAGTTGAAAAGTCTGTTCTATGGGTTAGATGTCCATATAGTATATCACACTGCTATGAAAATAACTAATGATTTAAAGAAGTAATAATAATAATAATAAGTAAGGATCAATAGCAAATCAAAAGATATGAGAGGGTTTAAAATGGTAGAAAAAAAACTCAGGGTAATACAAATAAAACATTGAGAAACTCACAAGACTTTGTGGTCAGATTTTGAGCTTTGTATGATCGGCCTTAGTAGATCAGCATTCATAAGATTGAGCTATCTGTCTACTTGCAGTACTATGTCAAATGCGCATGGGTTGTTTTGGCTTCGCAATATGCCAGTTTATTTGCTCTTTTTGAGTTATATATTGACCTCGCTTGTTATTTGTCTATTAACCTTGACTGCATATGTGTCTATTGCTTATCCTACACGTCACATGTCTGTGGTATATTTATGTCCGAATGTAGTTACTGAGTCACGCTTAATTAAATTGAGTTGGCCCACTAGTCTTCTCAGCAACGCTTTGCTTTCCATTTTTAAAAGGACAATCTCCACCTTTCACCACTTGAATCTTACTAATTGATTCGACTCCTAATTCACCTCTGTATTCTTCACATAATCCTACAATTTCAGCTTCTTTGTCTAGTTCCTTTTCAATCATACCATATTTACGCTTGGTTTCTTTAGCCTATTAGAATGCTGTCGCTTAAAAAGTAACATAATAATAGAAAATTAGACTACGTTATCATATCTTAACTATTATTATTATTATTATTATTATTCACAAACATCTTATGGGTACATAAGTGTTGTGAAGAAACCATTTCGGGTTTCTTCAGAAAATGCAATAATACACAATTTTCAATAATGTTAGCATTATACTTGCCATATTTAAAAAATAAAATAAAATATTTAAAGAAAAAATTTAGAATAATAATAGTAGAATATTAAAAATAATAAATCGGGTATGTGTAATTGAGAAGAATATTGAATTGAGTTTAAAGAAGGAAATGGAGAAAATAAGGGAATAGAAATAAAGGAGACGTGAAATAAGCAAACAGTCTAATAGGCGTGTTTATGAACAGAGAAGAA